CACTGTTGGTTATCAGCGTTTTGTATCATGTTACATCGTCCATTGGTGGCATGGGTATGTAGGCTATCAAGTATTTCTGTTATAATGAGGGGCCTAAGTATGAGAGATCTTTTTCTTGTCGTAAAGCGTACGTTTTTGATTTTGACTGTAGGCGGTGCCTGAGAGTCTAATTCTTTCTACGCGCAGATACTTGTAAACTCTGCCTTTTGGCTGCGAAAGTTCGTAATTTTTCTGAAATTGTATACTAAGCCAACAATAATTTTGTCGGCAATCAGTGTAATTATTTGGGTTTTTACGCCTGGTATTTTTGAAGCCAAAGAGAGCGCTAAGTACAATGCATCATCTTGGCTCAAAATACTTGTAAATTTTTAAAATCTGCGTTTTTCCAGGTTGTTCAAGGAAGCCATCATGCGAGGGAAAGAAGTACGAAAGTCACAACAGTCACAGTAGTACTTAGTGCCTTCATAGAATAGTGTATAAATTGTTTTAAACTTTAGTTGTTTGTTATTCTCAAAATAATAAATCTTATTTTTAAGAAACTCAGCGCTTTCATGGATGCCTTCCGATATCTGACCTTCACCTAGGTATTATAAAAGACTTGATGAAGACTGTTTAGCAATGCTCGGACGGGTGCTACCGTCCGTCCCTTTCTCCTTTATTCGCTTTGCTGCGAATTTAGCTACAGCTGCTGGTGAAGTCTCGACTGGCTCGGCTGATGTGGATCTTGCAATTTGCTCAAGAAGATTGTCTAAAGTGCCGAAGAGCCCTTTTGTGGAAACTCCTCAGGTATCTTTCGGATGTTCTGTTTTTTCTCCTTCATGCATCGTGTTTGTTCAGGCGTGGGTGTCTACTTTTGATGCTATTGAAGAAAGAAGATTAGGAATTATCGACCTACATCCAGATATATTTCGAGTGCCGCCAAGGCTGGATATCTTGCATAGGTAATTCTTTCCTTTGTTTTTTGAAATTTATCTTTGATTTTTGCTACGTTTTTTTGCCACTTTTTGCGGAAAGGAGTGTGCAGTTTAAGTCACAGTCTTTTTTGTCCATTAGAGGAGTTCTGGAACCTCCTTCCACTTTCTCCTTTTTCATTTTTATCTAAAATATGATTTCTATCTAAAACATGATCCATATTTTTCAAGAAACCTGACGTGGCAGACAGTATATAGGAACGTTCAGTTGACAAAACAGCTGACTCGAGCAGAGATGCCGGGAGGAGGTACAAGCTCGTGGTTTTGGGTCCTTTATGCTCTTTTATCTGCTCTTTTAGGGCGGAAACCATGGCCACAGAAGAAAACTGGACGTGCTCATGTAGGATCCATACGTTCTCCACAATTTATTCATGGGGGTTTCGCTAACGGTGTTCGTGGACCGCGTACATGGTTTTACATATTGCCTGATGCTATTAGGTTGAAAGGTAGTGTTGAAGCAAAAGGGTCTTTTGTACTTTGTTATCTTTGTAGGCTTGTGTGTGGCGCTGACTGTGAAACATGCACAGGATTGCCTTCAAATAGTTAACAGATTAGATCAGCTGCCATCAGATGCTGACGCACAATTTATGCATGACTTAGCCGATCATCGCAACTGGGGCTATTCCGTGCTTTTTGTCAGTGAGAATGATGAGGTTGGTTTTGTCACAGCTTCGCATTTTTTAGTATGAAGTTTCTTTATATTTTTCTACTCAAAACCATATTATCTCGTCCATTTCTTTTATGG